TGTGCCTGGGGGTGCTGAGCCTGGGGGTGCTGGGCCTGGAGGTGCTTCGTCTCGCCGAGAGCCACTCTCCCCACAGGAGCTGCGCGAGTGGTTTGCCAGGCGCTGGAGGCGTGCTGCTGGTGCTGGAGGTTCTTCGGCTGCAGAGGGTACTGCTGCCGAGCGTCCCGGAGGTACTCATACTGTGGGTGCTGGAGCTGCTGGGTCTGAGGTTTCTCTTGGAGCTGGTGCTGCTGAGGGTGTTGGCGCTGAGACTGCCGCTAGCGGTCCGACTGGCAGTGCTCCTGGTGGTGCTGCTAGAGGTTCTGGAGCTACTGGAGGTGCTGCTGGAGGTGCTGCTGGAGCGGGTACTCCTGCTGGGGGTACTGGTGCTGTCCCTGCTGTTTCTGGCGTCACCGCGCGGCCCCGACCGTACTTCGTTCCGCTCCTGCAGCAGGTTCTTGGTCTTACACCTTCTCCTGGTCCTCCTCCTCCTCCCTTAGAGGGTCCACAGCCTGTCTCGTCACAGTCACAGCTACAGCCTGCCTCCCCTTTGCCTGCTCCTTCTCCCTACGCTGGTCCGACTGGAGGTCTTACTGAGCGTCGTGAGCCTGCGTCTCGTCCTGCGTCGCCTGTTCGTCCTGCGTGCACTAGTGGTCGCGGTTCGCGTCAGCGTCCTCCTCCTGTCCCTGGCACGCACCGGATGTCTCTGCGTCCGTCCACTGCTCCTCTGCGTGCCCCTTTGCCTTCTCCTCCTGCTTCCTCTCTTCCTGCTCTTGCCGACCCGGAGTCGGACTCTCTTCGTGCTGCCAGTCCTACTGTCACGCGTCTCCTTGCTACTGCTGTCACTGACCCTTCCTTCGAGTCTTCTGCTGCGTCTGCCCTTGTCACTGAGCTTGTCGACTTTGCTGCGCGCTGTCGTCTAGACTACGCTGCTAGTCTTGTCGCTGAGTCTGAGTCTGCCTGTCCTCCGTTCGTCGGGGGTGAGTGTGCCCTTGGCACGGACGTCCTTGAGGACAGGCAGGAGGAGTTCCAGTGTCTTGCCGCCGCTTCACCTCATCTCGCGTCTGTACTGCTAGCCCCTGAGGGAGACCCGGATGCACTAGACATCCCGACTCCGCGTTCTTACGCGGAGGCGATAGAGGGTCCCTACTCCTCTCAGTGGCAGGCAGCTATGGATGCAGAGATGGCTTCCTGGAAGTTCACAGGCACCTACGTCGACGGTGTTCCCCCTCCTGGGGCGAACATCGTCAGTGGCATGTGGATTTTCAGGGTGAAGCGGCCGCCGGGTTCTCCGCCTGTCTTCAAGGCGCGTTACGTGGCTCGTGGCTTCAGTCAGCGGCAGGGGGTTGACTACTTTCAGACCTTCTCCCCCACCCCGAAGATGACCACTCTTCGGGTTCTGCTGCACGTTGCTGCTCACCGTGACTACGAGCTGCACTCTCTCGACTTCAGCACAGCTTTCTTGCAGGGCAGCCTGCACGAGGAGATCTGGCTGCGTCGCCCACCTGGCTTCACTGGGTCTTTCCCTCCTGGTACCTAGTGGAGTCTCCGGCGTCCAGTCTACGGTCTCCGTCAGGCGCCACGTGAGTGGCACGACACACTGAGGACTACGCTGGCGGCACTTGGGTTTGCTCCTTCTACTGCAGACCCGTCGCTGTTTCTGCGCACCGACACCTCTCTGCCGCCGTTCTACATCCTCGTGTACGTCGACGACTTGGTCTTTGCCACAGCTGACACTGCTGGACTCGCCCACGTGAAGTCCGAGCTGCAGAAGAGACACACGTGCACTGACCTGGGTGAACTGCGTAGCTACCTTGGCTTGCAGATCACCCAGGATAGAGCACGCCGCACCATTACCCTGACTCAGTCACACATGGTGCAGCAGGTCCTTCAGCGCTTCGGCTTCACGTACTCCTCGCCTCAGGCCACTCCTTTGCCTACTCGCCACTCGCTCTCAGCTCTGCCTTCGGATGAGTCCGTAGAGTCGAGTGGCCCGTATGCAGAGCTTGTTGGCTGCCTCATGTACCTGATGACCTGCACACGACCTGACCTTGCATACCCTCTTAGCATTCTCGCACGCTATGTTGCTCCTGGGAGACACCGACCAGAGCACATGGCTGCAGCGAAGAGGGTGTTGCGCTACTTGTGCAGTACGTCGGGCATGGGGCTAGTGCTTGGAGGGCGCAGTCCAGTGGTCCTCACTGGGCACGCAGACGCTTCTTGGGCTGACGACCAGGCTACGCAGCGGTCGTCACAGGGTTACACCTTCAGCCTTGGTTCCGACTCTGTTTCGTGGCGGGCTACCCGCTCGTCTTCTGTTCTCGGCTCCAGTTGTGAGGCTGAGATCTACGCTGGGGCTATGGCTGCACAGGAGTTACGCTGGCTCACCTACCTGCTAACCGACCTTGGAGAGCAGCCTCGTTCTCCTCCAGTCCTGTACGTAGACAACAAGGCCATGCTGGCCTTGTGTCGAGAGCAGCGACTGGAGCACAGGACAAAGCACATTGCTCTCCGCTACTTTCTTGCTCGTGAGCTACAGCAGCGTGGACAGTTGCGACTTGCGTACGTGGCCTCTGAGGCCAACACTGCTGATGTCTTCACCAAGGCACTTGCGCCTTGTGATCATCAGCGTTGTTGCACGCAGATGGGTCTTGTGCCTGTCCTGCCTCACTTGCTCACTTCTTGACTTTGCTTGTACCTTCTGCTATATATACTCTTGCTCTTTCTCGCTTGACTCGTGTATATCTTTATATATGATCTTGCATGTGAACTGGCCTTGTGGCCCTTGAACTTGTGCTCGGAATGTGTGGTGACTTTGTGATCCACCCTGAGCTTTGCTTTGCTTCACTTGACTGGTCTTGTGACCCCTTGTTCTCCCCCACTTTGCCTATGGGGGTGTGTCAGAACATTATAGCTTACTCTTTTTTGTAGGCTATAGTGGGGTATCCCATAGGGGGTACAACCCAATTAGGGTTTCATATTTGTACTCACTTCATTTCATAGTCATCCATTCACATTCATTCTTTCACATTTCTATATATTGTTAGAAGCCCTGTTAGAATATCCTATCATTGGAGCATTATCTTTTGAGTAGTATACAAATGTTAAAAGTTGTGCGACATTGGAAAGGTTCCGAATGTACATATGTCGACGAACATATATCAATTATCTATAAATCATGGATTAACCTAATGTTCAGTTGTATACGTACATTGTTGATATAGCAGAAGATCGTAATGGATAGGTTAAAGCTACCAAGTGTGAAAGAAGAGATGTGAGTCTCTTGTAGTGACATTGTTAGAGAATTGAAAGAGAATAAGATAACTATAGGATAGAAGTACAAGGAGATAAATAGCATTCCTAGCTAGCCGTGCATTCCTAGCTAGGAGATAATAGCATTCCCTTATTAACTGTCATGCATTGCTACAGTAACCCGCGACTATTGCCATTCTAGATGTAAATTTCTACGTGTGAGTTAGGGCGCATCACCTCGGGGCTGGAAGGCCCAAATCCGAACATACGTAACGAATTCACTGTACGAACAGTTTCCCGACGAGATCCGAACACAAACTTGAACACCTTGGTGAATGTGACAGCTCGTGACTAGAGGTGACAGCCTGTTCGAACATGCGACGTCGCCAAGTGCTGGACGACTTCGCGAAACGTCGCAAGAAAATAATTATGTCGTCTGCCATTCAAGTTTGACTCATTTTTCGCCCATCCAGTCAAACAGTCTCTTCGTGCTCTTCTACTACTGCTCACCTTGTTGTTTCCCAACAACAATGTCCTTTTTTATGAACTTTCTCTTGCATGGCGACATTTGCAATGTTCGCAAACATTCGTGTGCGACCCGAAGCCTGCTAACCAATAAAATCAGTCGTCCATGCGGAATTCCTGTCACCAAACCCAACTTTGTTCGAACAGCTCTGTTCGAACGTGCGGAATGGAGAGCTTCGTGCCCCGTGTGACAACTCTGTTCAAATTCGCGAAATTTCCGATTAGCGACGTCACGAACACCCATACGAGGAGTGGCGAAAAATGTACCACCTCGCCTGTTCGATCAACCGTCCTGTTCGAACTGAGAGGTGAAGCGCCCTTCGAACTGAAACATACTGGTTGCGTTCCGAACCTGGAAAGCTGCGAGAAAGTAACTGCAGAGACACCTGACATACCAACAACCTACCCCGAAGCCTCCTCCCTCGAAAGTCGACTTTTTCGGATATGCCTAACCTCTCGTGGGGTTTAAAGCCCAGGTGTGCTGCTGTCGAGCCTTTACCGAACCACGCAATACTGTGATAGGGCTGTGGTTACCCCTGGACTGTGAAGCTATCGAACAGCGCCTCAGACATACTTTAGCAGCCCATCATTTTTGGGATGATCCCCTTTGCCCTCTTCGTTCTCCCCCTTTGCCGCCTCACGCGCCGACTCAGTCGCCGCTTCCTCCCGTCGCAGTAGCGCGTCAGCGCCTCGTCTGGCGGCACCTCGCCTGTCGGCGGCGCCTCCCCTACTGGCGTTGCGCATGATCTTCTTCGACGGTTTCGGCTTGCTTCTCTCCTCGTTTTCGAGTTAGTGGCTCCCGCGTCACCGCCGTCACCACCGGCGGGTTGCTGCGGCACCACCCGGGGTGCTGTTTCTCCTTCTCCGCCACTTGAGTCCTCCTCGACCTCCGCGTCTTCTCCGCTTCCGCCTTCACCCCTTCGCCCTTCCCTGCCTCCGTACTCACCCCGTCGCCCTTCCCCGCTTCCGCCTTCCCCGCTTCCGCCTTCCCCGCTTCCGCCTTCCCCGCTTCGGCTTTCCCCGCTTCCGCCGTCTCAGCTGCCACAGCCGCTCAGGGCAGATTCAGACGCTAAAAGCAGATTCAGGCGGAAAGGACAGGTGGCAGCAGAAGTTGGGGCAGAGAAGGCGAATCCCGGCAGAAAGAGGTGAAATCCGGCAGAATCGGCGACGTGCAGAGGGCGACGGCGGGATTTGCGGCAAGAAGGAGCAGCGAGTGAGCGCAGCAGGCGGGAATCGGGACCGAGATGTCGTTCAAAGGGCCGCGCAAGGGGTTCCTGGAGGTGTTTAAATTCGCGTGCTACGTGGGAATCCCTATCGCCATGATGGTTACTTTCGCCAACAACCAGGACAACCTCGAGGCTATCATCCGCAACGTGAGAGCATCATGCAACAGACCAGTGTGTGCGTCAGGGTTGGGGTTGTGCTTGAGGCCGCTTGAGTGCATCCCCATTCTCATCGCCATGGTGGTCACGTTCGCCAACAACCAGGACAACCTCGAGGCTATTATCGGAAACGTGAGACCATCTTGCGCACGTGACAGACATGCGCGTGCATTGTGAAACGTGTGTGCCTGTGCCTCGGGCGAAAACGTGCGTGGGTAATGTGACACGTGACACGTGACGTGAGGCTTTCATGTATGCCCCGCCCACTGCTTAGGAGGCCAAGGAGGCCACGAAATAGGCCTTCAACCCTCTAGCTTCTCATGTATCTCCCCACTTGTACACCCTGCTAAATACACCGTCCCACCCCTCCCTCCCCACTCTCCCTCCACCCACCCACCCACGCACCCCCTCCTTCCCCCTCTTCCCCTCTTCTCTCCCCATAGAGGGCATACGTGATCTACCCGCCTGAAGGCCCTCGCCCGCCCACAGCGGAGGAGGTGAGAGGACTGGCGCAGAGGCGTCAGCAGGGGGAGGGGAAGCAGGCTGAGGGGCAATGAGGGAGGAGTGGTTCGCAGGCAGCAGCAGCATCAGGAAACAGCAGGAGGGTGAGTGGTTTAGATTTTAGAAAAGGCAGGAGAAGGGGCAGCGGGGTGAGAGTAGGCAGGCTGGCGAGCAGGGAAGGCTGGAGGAGCGCAGAGGGAAGCAGGTTGGCGGGCAGTGATGGGGGGAGTGGCGCAGAGGGAAGCAGTGGGCCAGAGGCAGGAGTGGGCAGCAAGGTGAGGGGGGGTCAGGCCGGAGGGCAGGGAAGGCTGGAGGGGCGCAGAGGGAAGCAGAGGGCCAGAGGCAGGAGTGGGCGGCAGGGGGGGGGGAAGTCACCAGAAGCCAAACCCCGGGCGAGGCGAGGAGGTGGGGGGTCTGGTCTGGCGCAGAAGCGGCAGCAGGCGGATGAGAGCAGGCTGGGGGGCAGTGAGGGGGGGAGTGGTGCAAAGAGAAGCAGAGGGCCAGAGGCAGGAGTGGGCAGCAGGGGGGGAAGTCACCAGAAGCCAAACCCTGGGCGAGGCGAGGAGGTGGGGGGCCTGGCGAAGAGGCGGCAGCAGGCAGAGCGGAGCAGGCTGGGTGGCAGCAAGGGGTGGAGGAGGGGCGCAGAGGCAGCAGGGCAACGCGAGGCAGGTTGGGGGCAGTGGAAGGGGGAGGGGCGCAGACGGGTAGCAGGTTGGGGGGGAGTGAGTGAGGGGGGGGGGGGGGGGAGGATGTGGGGGGGAGGTGCAGTATACGGCAGCAGGCAGAGGAGAAGCAGAATGCGACGAGAGTGTGAAGTGCCTACAGTAGTTGCACTTTCTAGGATATACCGGTAAGTAAAAATAATACATAAAGTTTTTCTGCGGAATGCGGGGCAGGCAGGCAGACATGCATTCAAGGTGCTCAGAGAGGGCGCGTGATTTGGAGCAAATGAATCTACATACGGCGTATCTTCACACCGCATAACATTCCGGTAGGCACTTAGAGGAGCTACGGCACGGCAGGGTAGGTTTGATTAGTCTGATGGGGAAAAAACGGCTTTCGACTGGAAAGGGTATGGGGGCTGGGACAGTTACAAATGAGAAGGGAGTGTGGTTAGTTGGAAAATGAGTGTTCTATTATGAACTTTTAATGTGGGAAAGAGAATGAAAAAATGTGCTCTACAGTACACTCTGGCAAATACGGTATAATTTCTCACAGTACCGTAAAGTGCCACCTATAGGACCCGGGGGACTCTCTACAAATGCTCGAAAAAATGCTAGGGGGACCCTCTAGCGGATGCAAATTTTTAAGACCCGGGGTACACTTATTAATCTATTAACTTTATTGGATTTACCATGTACCAGCTCGTTACAGAGGGGGGGGGTCTTATATTTTTTACGGTGGAATCTTTCGCTAGGTGCACAACGCGCGCGTCATCGGGAATGACACGCGGCGGCGAGATTCAGAGCACGGCGGCGGACTGAACGGTCTTGGCCCCGCACCGCACATCATCTTGACGGTGTTTCCCGTCAAGATGGGCACGTCAGGTGGCCCCTGACCACCCCATCCTGTCATTGTGGCAGAACGGGCAAGGGACGTGAAGCACTATCGTTTATCGTCCCTCACTCTGCCGAGCACTAAGGTTTTCATCCCCTCCCTTTCCCTGATTCAGATCTTGCCAGGCCCGCTTGCTTCCTTCCCCGAGTAAATACCCCACCATGGTGCCTGCCACTTACAGAACCAGTAGTCAGTAGAACTGTATCAGCCCCACGCCATGTCGGCTTTCGAAAGCCCATGGCGTTCACGCCGTGCTCCTGTAGGCAGTGGCTCTGGTCAGCCCGCAATCATACTAATTACTAGCCCGGCCCCGCCAGCTCCTCCAGCACCTCCCGCTCCTCCCGCACCCCCTGGGCCTCCGGCGCCACCTGTGCCACCTACGCCTCCTGTGCTTCCCCCGGGCTTTGTCGACTGGCGCACCACACCTCCGTTTGACCCGGTCGAGGAGGAGGGGTTTCCCGAACCTGTCGCCGAGGATGCCGAGAACGAGAACGTGGAAGACGACGTCGGGGATTTCCCGATCCCGACGTTCCCGGATGACTTGCTCCACGACGAGAACGGGCCGCCTGCCAACGTTGACGGTGCTCCAACGCAACACAGCGCCCGCAAGACTACCCACCGACGCACGGCACGAACCATGGGTGAGAAGCATGAATGGCTCGCGCGAATGGATGAGGATAAGCTCTCCGTCCGCGCCACTGCACGACTCGCCGGGGTGCAGCCTGTCAGCGTCCGCCGGTGGATAAAGTCGGCGGAACGGATTAAGAAGGCAGCACCAACCAGGCGCCGACTGAGTGGTGGAGGGCGAAAGGCGAAATATCCCGACATGGAAGCGCACGTCTACAAGCGGCTTCTGAACTTCCGCGGAGGGGCTTTGGCCGTGCCTATTCGACTCATCAAGCATTGGAGCCGGTGCTACATGAAGACGCATTACCCTGATGCGAGGTGGCAGGCGTCCAACAGGTGGACGTTTCGCTTCCGCCAGCGTTTGGGCCTCTCCATCCGCGTAAAGACGAAGATGGGTCAGCGTATGGCCGCGGGTGAGTTATTCTAGTGCTGCTTTCCGTGTGTGTCTGCGTACAGTCTGCTCTGCCACATGTCACACTCATGATTGATACACCGCTGACTCTAATGTCCTTCTCCCGCCTTGTGGTCGTGCGTGGCAGAGTGCAAGCCGAAGTGTGTGAAGTTCTGGGCGTTCACGCGGAGGAATATCATCAAGCATGGCATCGACGCATGGAACATTATAAACGCCGATGAGACGCCCGTTTTCCTAGAGATGCCGCACGAGCGTACCCTGCATCACCGCGGAGAGAAGACGGTGCATGTCAGGAGCGCGGGCTACGAGAAGGACCGGGTGACGGTCATGCTCGGGATCACCGCGGACGGGCGCAAGCTCCCCGCCATGGTTATTTTCAAGCGCAAAACGATCCCGAAAATTCGGGTCCCAGCAGGTGCGTTTCGAATATTGTAACCATCACGGTTGTCGATCTGCGTGGCATATGTCTAACCACGTGCCTTGTGTTCCTTGCAGGAGTCGTTGTCCGTGCACAGGCTAAAGGCTGGATGGACGCTAAACTCGTGGATGACTGGGTCAACAACGTTCTCCTGCCGTTCATCAAGCCACCCCGCGGAATCCGGCGGGGCAAGACGCTTCTCGTCGTGGACTCGTACAGGGGCCACCTCACCGACGGTGTTCTCACCAACATGAAATGGAACAACGTGATCCCGGCCATCATTCCCGGGGGCTGCACCCCCCTGCTGCAGCCCCTTGATGTGAGAGTCAATCGCTCATTCAAGGCCCTGCTCCGTCAACTCTACAACGACTGGTTCGCCGAGGTTGGCGTCAACACTTTCACGAAAGCCGGTGAGATACGGTGACTTTCTAAGTACCGCGCTTTGTGTCGTGTTTGTTGCTGCTAGTTTGCAACACAATTCACCATGTGCGCCATGTGCCTCTTTACCGTTTTACATGGCAGGCAACCTGAAAAAACCGCCGGCAGAGACAGTCCTCAAATGGATTGCGAGTGCATGGGCGGCCGTCCCCGAGCACATTATTGAGAAGGCCTTTCTCACGACAGGCATCAGCAACGCGGTCGATGGGACGCAAGACCACCTCGTCCTGGCCCACATGCGCGATGCGGGCGAGGTCGAGGTGGCACAAGATGTGCACGTCGCCCCTGAGGTGGAGGAGTGGGTGAACCCACTGTTCGCCACCGCCGCGGATGATGAGGAGGCGGCAAAGGCAGCAGATGCTGAGGATGCCGGGGACCTGCAGGAGCTCCTAGGAGGAGGAGGAGGAGGAGGAGGAGGAGGAGGAGGAGGAGGAGGAGGAGGAGGAGGAGGAGGAGGAGGAGGAGGAGCTGGAGGAGGGTGAGGAGGAGGAGGAGGAAGAAGAAGAGGTGGATGAGGAAGATGAGGTAGTGATTCCTTGAAGTAGAGTGTTTAATGGAATCCATCATGACCACGCTGTAGTTGTAAATTCCTCCAGATGTAGAGATGTGTGTGTAATACCGTAGGTTATTACACTAACAATGATAACAGCACCAAACTCGGTAGGGGAATGAAGGGGGGGGGGGGGGGGGGGTCCTATATTGATTAGCGACAAAGGGGGGGTCCTCACTAAATCGTCCCAAATAAGAGTCCCTCTGCTCCTTCAAGAGTCCAGGGGACCCTCTTACCGGCGGGTCCTATAGGTGGCACTCTACGGTAAATGTTTCTGGAAATCACAAGGACAAAGAAAAGTGAATACTGATAGAAATGTCAGAAAGCTAGCTAAATGGTCAACAGAGACAGCCATAACATGTGTACCACACATGCTAGTGCATGTCCTAAAAAAAGCTACAGAAGTCAGCCTATTAAATCGGGCTACAACCACCAACAACAGAAACCCAACAGAGATTAACAGAAAGGACAACCACCCCTTGAACCACATCCCCCCATCATCCCTACCACACTTCCCTCCCTCCCACCCCCCCACCAAACCCAGTTAGCCCTACACCCAGTTAGCCCCAGCACTCAAGCCTACCGCCCAGCCTTAAGCAGCAACCCCATGCAGGCCTTAGGGCCTTCTGTCGTGCCAAGGGCAGCCTCCAGACGTTCACGCTTCCGGCCTCTCCACAACAAATGGGATTGCTGAGCGCCGCATTGGCATGGTCATGGACGTCGCTCGTGCGTCCATGATCCATGCGGCTGCTCCCCATTTTATGTGGCCATTTGCGGTTCCGTACGCTGCGCATCAGCTCAACCTCCAGCCCCGGGTCTCCATGCCGGATACCGCACATGTTCTGCGGTGGACGGGGAAGGTTGACGATGCGTCTGCGTTCCGTGTCTCGAGATCTCGAGCTTTTGTCCACGATTTGTCTGTGGAAAAGCTGTCCTCCCGTGCTGATCCCTGCGTCTTCCTTGGCTTACCCCCTGACGCGCCTGGTTGGCAGTTTTACCACCCCACCTCGCGTCATGTTTTGTCTTCTCAGGACATCACGTTTGACGAGTCAGTTCCTTACTACCGTCTCTTCCCCTACCGCACTGCCCCCCTCCCCCCCCGCCGCTCTTCCTAGCGCCAGGTCCTCCTCGGGTAGACCCCCTCCCCCCTCAGGGTCCTGCCCCCTCGGGTGTGTCTCAGGTAGACGAAGTCGAGCCTGTCGAGGTAGCTGTTGACTCTGGTATTGCTAGGGGTGCAGAGCCTGAGTGGGTGGAGCCTGGGGGTGTTGAGACAGAGCGTGTGGAGTCTGTGGATGCTGAGCATGGGGTTGCTGAGTCTGAGGGTGTGGAGCTTGCGGGTGCTGAGACTGGTGGTGCTGAGTCTGCGGGTGCTGAGCCTCCGGTTGCTTAGACTAGGGGTGCTGAGTCCGCTGGAGTTCCTGCAGGTGCCTCGTCTCGGCGGGAGCCTCTCTCTCCACCGCAGCTGCGCAAGTGGTTTGCTCGCTGCTGGAGACTCCAGCGAGGTGCTGATACTGGAGCTGGAGCTTCTGGAGGTCCTGCTAGCGGTGCTACTTGTGCTGGAGCTGCTGGGGGAGCTGGAGCTGCTGGAACTTGTCGTGCTGTCGGAGCTAGAGCTGCTGGGGGAGCTGGAGCTGCTGGCGGTACTGTAGGTGCTGGTGCTGCTGGTGCTGCTGGAGGTGCTGGAGCCGCTGGTCCCGGAGGTGCTCGTACTGGAGGTACTGGAGTTGCTGGGCCTGGTGGTGCTGCTGGACCTGGAGCTGCTGGCGGTGCTAGAGCTGGCGGTGCTGCTAAAGCAGGTGCTGCTGGAGGTGTTGTATATGGCGTTACTGGAGCTGCTGGGGCTTTTGGTGGTCCTTCTGCATCTGGAGCTACTGGAGGTACTGGAGTTGGCGTTGCTGGAGCTGCTGGTGGTGCTGCAGGAGCTGGAGCTGACGCTGGGGGTGCTGGTGCTGTCTCTGCTGGTTCCGGAGGCGCTGCGCTTTCGCGGCTATACTTCATTCCGCTCCTTCAGCAGGTTCTTGGTCTCCCGCCTTCTCCTGGTCCTGCTTCTTCCTTAGAGTGTTCGCCGCCTGTCCAGTCGCAATCATAGTTACAGCCCGCCCCCCCCCACTGCTTGCTCCTTCTCCTTACAATGGTCCGACCAGAGATCTTACGGGGCGTCATGAGCCTGAGTCTCATCCTGCGTTGCCTGTTTGTGCTGCTCGCACTTGTCGTTTTGGTTCGCATCAGCGTCCTCCTCCTATCCCCGGCACGCACCAAATGGCGCTGCGTCCTTCCACTGCTCCGCAGCGTGTCCCTTTGCCGTCTCCTCCTGCGTCTTCTCTTCCTACCCTTGCTGACCCGAAGTCTGACTCCCTTCGTGCTGCTAGTCCTACTGTCACGCGTCTCCTGGCCACTGTTGTCACTGACCCTTCCTTTGAGTCCACTGCTGCATGTGCCTTAGTTGCTGAGCTTGTCAACTTTGCTGCTCGCTGTCGTCTAGACTAAGCCGCGAGTCTTGTTGCTGAGTTCTCAGAATTAGGAAGTGAATGAATGAAATATGAGTGAAAAGAGTACAAGTACTAACCCGAATTGGGTTGTACCCCTTATGGGCTACCCCACTGTAGTCTACATAACATGCATCAGCTATAACGTTCTTACACCCCCATAGACAAAGTGGAGGAGAACAAGGGGTCACAAGACCAGTCAAGCAAAGCAAAGCAAGCTCAGGGTGGATCACAACGTCACCACACAGTCCGAGCACAAGTTAAAGGCCACAACGCCAGTTCACATGTAGGAGTACATATATATAGCAGTGCCAGACAAGCAAGAGCAGGTATATATATATGTAACAGTACAAGCAAGGTCAAGAGGTGAGCAAGTGAGGTCAAGTGGGCACAAGACCTAGAAGAGTGCAAAAGCGCTGATGGTCACAAGGCTGAAGCGCCTTGGTGAACACATCAGCAGTGTTGGCCTCAGTGGCCACGTAACGCAGACGAAGCTGACCACGCTGCTGCAGCTCTCAAGCAAGGAAGCAGCGCAGAGCAATGTGCTTCATCCTGTGCTCCAGTCTGTGCTCCTCACACAAGGCAATGGCTGCCTTGTTGTCGACGTACAGCACTGGAGGAGAACGAGGCCGCTCTCCAAGGTCAGTCAGCAAGTAGGTGAGCCAGCGTAGCTCCTGGGCAGCCATGGCCGTGGCGTAGATCTCAGCCTCACAACTGGAGCTGAGAACTGAAGAAGAGCGTGTAGAACGCCAAGAGACTGAACCAGAGCCAAGACTGAAGGTGTAACCCTAAGACGACCGCTGAGTAGCCTGGTCGTCAGCCCAAGAAGCGTCTGAGTGCCCAGTGAGAACAACCCGGTCTCGCCCTCCAAGCAGTAGCCCCATGTCCGACGTACTTCACAAGTAGCGCAACACCCTCTTAGCTGCATCCATGTGCTCCTTGCGGTGACGGCCTGGAGCGACATAGCGTGCAAGGATGCTAAGAGGGTATCCAAGGTCAGGTCTAGTGCAAGTCATCAGGTACATGAGGCAGCCAACAAGCTCTGGATACGAGCCACTCGGCTCTACGGACTCATCCGAAGGCAGAGCTGAGAGCGAGTGATCGATAGGCAGAGAAGTGGACTGAGGTGAGGAGTACGTGAAGCCGAAGCGCTGAAGGACCTGCTGCACCATGTGTGACTGAGTCAGGGTGATGTTGCGCCGTGCTCTGTCCCGGGTGATCCGCAAGCCAAGATAGCTTGTCAGTTCACCCAGGTCTGTGTACCTGTGTCTCTTCTGCAGCTCGGACTTCACGTGGGCGAGTGCCGCAGTGTCCGCAGTGGCAAAGACCAAGTCGTCGACGTACACGAGGATGTAGAACGGCGGCAGCGAGGTGTTGGTGCGTAGAATTAGCGACGGGTCAGCAGTAGAGGGAGCGAACCCAAGAGCCGCAAGTGTAGTCCTCAGTGTGTCGTGCCACTCGCGCGGCGCCTCACGGAGACCGTAGACTGGCCAGCGGAGGCTCCACCGGGTACCAGGAGGGAACAACCCAGTGAAGCCAGGAGGGCGGCGCAGCCAGATCTCCTTGTGCAGGCTGCCCTGTAGGAAAGCAGGGCTGAAGTCAAAAGAGTGGAGCTCGTAGTCACGCTGAGCGGCGAAGTGCAGCAGAACCCGAAGAGTGGTCATCTTCGGGGTCGGGGAGAAGGTCTGGAAGAAGTCAACTCCCTGCCGCTGACTAAAGCCACGAGCCACGTAACGCACCTTGAAGACAGGCGGAGAACCCGGCGGACGCTTCACCCTGAAAATCCACGTGCCAATGACGATGTTCGCCCCAGGTGGGGGAACCTCGTCGACGTAGGTGCCTGTGGACTTCCAGGAAGCCATCTCTACGTCCATGGCTATCTGCCACTGAGAGGAGTAGGGACCGGCCATCGCCTCTACGTAAGAGCGTGGGGTCGGGATGTCTGGAGGATCCGGGTCTCCCTTAGGGGCAACAAGCATGGACACGAGATGGGGCAAAGCGACGGCAAAGCACTCAAACTCCTCCTGCGTGTCCTCAAGGACGTCCGTGCTAAGAGCACACTCACCTCCGACGGACGGAGGACAGGCAGACTCAGTCCAGCAACAAGACTCGCGGCGTAGTCTAGACGACACGGGGCAGCAAAGTCGACCAGCTCAGCAACTAAGGCAGACGCAGCAGCGGAATCAAAGGAAGGGTCAGTGACAACAGTAGCAAGGAGACGCGTGACAGTAGGACAGGCAGCACAGAGAGAGTCCGACTCCGGGTCGGCAAGAGCAGGAAGAGAAGACTCAAAAGGGGCACGCAGAGGAGCAGTGGACGGACGCAGAGACATCCGGTGTGTGCCAGGGACAGGAGGAGGACGCTGACGCGAACCGCGACCACTAGTGCGAGCGGCACGGACAGGCGACGCAGGGCGAGACGCAGGCTCACGATGCTCAGCAAGACC